TCATATGTGAACGCTCAACCACATTCGCTTGTGAGTAGTGATCAGGCTGCCCGATCGTCTCGATAGGAGACGCAGTTACTGTCTGTTAACTCGAGTCTAGTACTTCTATTCGAAAGGGGCCGACTGGAATGTCTATAGGAATGTGACAGCTGCGATCAGTTGTGGGTGATGTTCAACCTGAAATTAACCAAATTTCCGACTACTCACCAGTAAATGTGGGGTGGTCGCGATTTGCCTGTTACGCATACCTGACTGGTGGCAACAACCACAACATCGTTGCTGTGGTTACAGCGACTTCTGAGCATTAAGCACACTACATATATCATCAACCTCGTAAAATGTTAATACCACCTTGGATCTTGAGACAAACTGAGTTTCTGAACAGTCCCGATGATTGCTCTTAAGATCAGCGCTGATCTGTGGTCTGATTGGCTCGGAGGTAAACGGCATAACTAGCTCGCAAATAAGCTCTTAACTAAAAGAACGGAGGTCAATCTGAATATTGGTTTCGTCTGTTGCAAGTCGTGCTAGAGCTTAACTCATCATTTATGAAGGACGAACATAGTGCACTACAAAGATTCTTACAGTCTGTGAACCATTCAATTAGCCCAAGTTGTGTTTCGTACATCTCATTAAATTAGGCACATAAGTTAACGGAACCCTATAGGTTTTCTGTTTACGATTGCTTTTGTGACAAAAGTACATGAGGGGGCTACATCTTTTCCGTCCAGATTTGTTAAAAACAAATGCTTCCTGACCTACTGACGGTCATTGTTTTAACTGAAAATCATGTTGAACCAAATTCAGACGAATTGTTCCCTTTTAATTCTTGCAGAAGTGGAATCCTTCAACAAAAGACAATCAACCTACCGTGTTTCTTTTCACTGTCCTCTTCATTGGTAATTGAAGTTTCTGAAATGGAGGACAGCGCAAAACTTCAAGTTGTTACTGACAGACGGAACGAAAGCAATGCCCTGACAAGTCATTACTGATCATATTGTTGATGTTTGTTTAGTGTTGTCAGTGTTTTACTAACAGCATAAACACGTATTCAACCACAAATTTAAAAGTCATGACCAGCCTTATCAAGTACATGTACAAAATGAGAGGAAACATTAACGCTGTTACATGCATACATTTATTACTATAAATTGAATATGACGAACAAATGATGATAGTTTTGTATTTACATGGAATTCTAATCCAGCCTCTTTCCGTTAGCTGTACTAGGCAGGAGAGTCGCTGGTGTTAAACCACGTGAATTACGCATATAGTTACCTCGAAAAGGAGTTGAACTCCGATTCAGGTGCCTAGGAGATGATCACGTTGATCACTACGCCACTGACCTCATGTTAGGAGCGATCGACTTATCAGATTCAAACACTCGAGCCATACGAAAGATTCCTGAGAAAGTGACCAGAGTTCCACTCCCGCTCCTGCTCTAGAAAGAGCTAAATGTAACTCGAGCACCAGCTGAACACCCATTGTGAATACGAAAGATACAAGCAATTGTGTATACTGTTCTATTTTTGTAAGTTGAGATTCCTACTATTTTGATTGCGCTACGGTTTAGTTTTTCATTGAATGGATATGTCTTCCAAATTCGTTCGCCCATTACAACAAATACAATATAGTGACATTGCTTCATGTTTAATTTTTATTTCAACTTATGATTAATTCCCGGTTTTCCTTGGCTGATGTCCATTATACATGAATGTTAGAGTTGCTTTGGGGAAAGTTCAAATGACATTAGTTGCTTCTGTTAGCACAAGGTTCACAATATGACTACTATCTACGGTACACAAGGTTACAAAGTCAGAATGTAGTTTAGCAAATGAAATTTCATGTCAGAACTTAAAAACAGACAGTTAATTAACAACTGGGAATTCGGTTATTCAGGGGGTTGAATGATTTCATGAATTATTCAAATCTATAGGCTGTAGGCGCATAAATGTATCGTTTCTGTTGAGTGAGACTGTGAGTAAGTTGTATAACGTGATGAAGACAAAAATAAGGAGGTATTTATAAGAAAATAAAACTAAACTAGATGATACTTCTTGTGAAAGCTTTTTGATAGTTCTTCAGTTGTCATCTGTTTGTATTTCTTACCTTTGTGGATAGTATACAAAGTGAACAAACAGCCTGAAGTTCGAATTTTCTAAAATGCACCATCCAATTCAGATTTAACGTTTTGGGCAATGTTTTGACGATTCTGTTACAATAAGACAATCGACGACCTACGCGATATGGGAGATGACTCGAATTCAAAATGTTGGAATCTACATAGTTGACTTGTAAAAAGGCGTTCAGACGGATACACAATGTCAACTCAACCAAGGGGAGATTTAATAGTTATTTACTGCATTGCTTAAATTGGATTGCCATGAAATTTTTCAATAGAATTCATTAAGTTTTGCTTGGAGATAGAAACGGTAATACCGATTCACTTAATATACATCCAATGAAAAGATGTTATTATACAGTCGATGAGGTTTTTCAGGAAATTTTGGGTGGAAAGTTGTTTTCGAGAAGTCGCAATCATCTATAAAACTAGCAATTTCTCTTAGTAAACCCTGGATCAAAAGGCCAAGACACTTACGGCGGTTAAAATGTACACATTTATGCAGAAGTTGACGCAGCTTGGAATAATAACTTGTACAGAGTGTCTTTTATAAAACAACTGGATGCATTTAATAACTTACTCGTGGTCGAAGGCATGCTTTCTTCTAAAACTTGACCCAAAAAACGGATGTTTTGAGAAATACTTCATTCAACTTTGATCAGTTCTGGTTACCTAATTAGGTTAAAATCGAGCCCAGTAACACGAAAAAAGTAATTGCTGAGGAGAAAAAGTGCTTATAATCTTTTCTCACTTCATAAAGTGAGCATGGTTCTGTGTCATATTTTCAATGTAGACAACAGGGTAATTTTGACATTACAATTACTTGAGCATTTGAAAATTCGCAAATTATAAATTGGTGGTAGGTCTCCCTGTTAAATTTCTCTGCTGGTTGCAAAAGTGGTGAATGACATATCACAGACACTACTCATGAGTAGTAAAGAGTTAAAACTGAAGAAACTAAAATAAATTGATTAGTGCAGTTGGAACAATTTAGTCATCCAGTATGTCATGAATGTACCACATCAATTACATATGAGTTATATTGGATTATAATTCGGGTTTTATCGCATTTAACTAAAGTTTATGCTACTAATTCAAAGAGGCAAACAATGAAACAGCAAAAGGAATGAGAAGTAAGTGAAAATAAAATATATTCATTGTTCCACATCTCACATTGGTTGAAAGAGCAGATTTGAGTATGGATAGAGTTATATGACAGTGTAAACTAACAATGACTTCGGGCAAACTGGATAACTCGAAAGAGTAATCAGATTACTAATTGTAGCCAAATAGTATTCTGTGTTGTACATGAGGTGGTCTTGTCAACTTAGATAGAACTTATTGTAGTGTACTGTTGGAAAAAGTATACGCAGGCACATGGTTACTGTGTACATCCAGTAAATAATACACATATTGTTATATCATTAAATGTACACACCCATTTGTCTACCCCAAAAGATCCGACCAAACATCAGGGTCCGATCAACATCCATTCCGTCGTAAATGAAACGACTCTATACTAAACTGCAAATTGATAGGTACTTAGTATGATCGTGTTCAGTGGTTGATTCTCTGTTAGCAACCACTGGAAAGGTGACGGTTCACTCTGCTGGGCAGTAGCAGTGTGTCCAATATATTTCTGGTTTTTAGTATAACGAATGACTGTGTCCCGTTCTTTCACTCTCTCCTGTCCACTTGTACCAATCTTCACCATGGAGTTTGAGGCGTGACGACAGTTTACTGCCTGACCGCACTTTCTTTAATGATTGGCCCAGCCTATGCCTAGTTGCGATAATTACCTTCTGAACAATTACTGACCATTTGCAAAACAAATTTTGATTATGGTTACGGTAAACACTTGCCGTGAAGAACAGCATTCGGAACTGTAATCACGAATGAAGTTTCTTCGCAGAAAAACAAATGAAACTGCAGATTCCGGAAATATCAGTGAAATCCTTTATAATGGTCTACTAGAGGGAAATAAGATGCTTTCAAAAGCGTAATTTACGGTACGGTTGAAACACCTCCTGGCTACTCTCAGTAAACGCATGGAGGTGAGTTTTTATCTAGTTTTTCAAAAAGAAATGTCTGTTGAATGACAAAATGCAGACGAGAAAGAGGAGGGCTATTTAAATGCGTCAACGGTTACACACATAGAGGGAAACAGTGTTCTTCCTCAAGACGAACTTTCCAAAAGAAACACAACTATACAGCAAGCATATTTGTAAGAAACAGTGGAATTTCTATAGAATGCGAAACAATAAAGTGTCTACAACCCACAAAACAAATTTTCTGTCAATTTTAAGTTCGTTAATAACAAACATCACTTCCGGATTTCTCTTCCGATTCGTTGTAGTTTTTTTAAAAGATTGTTCAGGTCGCTGTCAAGTTTAGGAAACTTGAATGATGTGATTCCCATTCGGGTAGTTTGGAACCACATGTGCAGAAGAAGTTTGGCAGACACTACGTCAGGGGCCTCTACTGTCAGTGCACGTGGACAGAACTCAGTAACGCGCCTGTTTTCAATTTTTGGTTAGTCCGGCTCAAGCCATAGTGGGATCTTGGAACAAGTGATGGGTTGTCAGCACGTTATCTGGGAAGAAGAGTGGTTAGACACGTTCTACTTTGTTGTACAAGATGTCATTACGAATATGTCAGATGATGTCACTAAGGTGATAATGGAAAGTCAGAACAGAACTATCGAGAAGGCATATCAGATGAACGAGATATGTGCACTTGTATGAGGGATTTCAGTGTGAACTGTTCGAGAAATCCTGCCTGGGCAGTCGATCCCCTGAATCATTTGGTGGATTCCATATTTGATAGTGGGATGAGTGGGTAACCGAGTCCAAATATGAAATTCTTGAGGTCGTGATGTGGCTTCATAGCTCAACAGGTAAAGCGCTTACCGGTTTGAGGCATGGTCTTTTTGTCGCTGGTTCGTATCCAGCTGAAGCCCTGACTTTTCACAGTTGAGTCATATCTAAAATCACAAATCTACCGCACTATTTATTAGTGAAGTAGCAATTTATGAAGAGGGACAAAAGTCTGCGAAGCGGTTTGAAGTATTGAATGAAAAGCTGGTCTCTTACGGACAAGGTGACCAATTCTGTGTACGAACGAAAGCGATATGCTTAAATTTACTCGAATTTATTAATGGTGTTAACTGTAACATACCAGTATCCCCTACCATTCCACATCTTCAGTTGAAATGGAACAATTTCGTAGATTATCTTATACAACCCAAAATGAGCGTGCTTTTCAGTACATCAGCAATATCTCGTTCGACGATTTACGTCCGTTTGTGGAACGGCAAGGTATGCTGTAGTCGAACCGCTTGGTATTGTTGTGAACACAAATGCTGATAATAAACCAGAAGTGTCCATCCTGTCTAGATTAATTGAACCATAGAGGTGTACATACAACGCCAACTATCCATATCAATACAACTTACTTGGTTTGAGCGGCATATCAGTAGCTGTAACTGGAGAAATGTAGCAATGACAGAACGTTAGAAAACATCTAATTGTGATAAATAATACTTCGAACGGATTCAAATAATCATTAGGAGCCGTGTAAATTTGCTTAGCACATACCACACCAGCTGAACTCAAATAAATCTCACTTTCAGGATCAATTACCAACCCGACTTTCTGTCATGTGGAATCGGAAAAAATAACTAGCCGGTTACAGTTCTAAAGTAGTAAACGCTGGTGTCCACCAAAGCCATCGTTCAGCGTGGGCAGTTTATTACTAGGTAGTACGATGGAGGATTTAGTGAATAAAAAACGATAAGACTGCGGGGATTCCGGGCTTCAATTTAGCAAGTACGTAATACTTTCAGCCAGTTTGGTGATACCTTTATGTAATCACATGGCTAATGGCCAACTGCGCTTGTCTACAACTATGTCCCTTAGAGTGCCCTCAGGAGTCTCTGAAGCAGTCACTTCGATTAAGTATGAACAAACACTTTTGATAGCTGACCAAGGCAGCTGATAGTTGGGATAGACAACGTCCAAACAGTTTAAGGTAAGGAATTTTGGTGTTCAGTCAACTAGACTTGCTTTATTATACAATCCCCTCAGACTTTGTGCTTTCAGTTCATCGAATTGCGTTTCATATCCACTTGATTTTGATCACATTTAAAGATGCGTTTCTTTTGCACTTCCAGCACACATTCCGTACAGAGCGGTAGCAAAAATCTCTACTGGCTTCGACTTACTCGTTTCGTTTTATTGATTGTTGTAATGTGTGTTGTTGGATTAACAGGAGTACTTGACAGTCATTTATCACAGCTTCTGAGATTCATTTTCATTTCGCCTTCTTTGTTGGTAAACATACATTCTGTGAGCAGACGACATATGAGTGTTTTCGTGCACAGCGGTGTAAAACGTACGATTAAACAGTTGAAAACAGGATGGTCAGAATTCAAGATATCGTCATATGGTATGATTATTTAGGGTACTTGATACGAAAGACAACGGGATGGGTTATGGTGTGAACGTATACCGGTCTGTTCAGCATGTCATTCTCGGGCATCAGTTAGATGCTAATGAGCATCATTTGTTTGTGGAGGAAGATGGACGAATAGAGGATACAAGCAATTCGTAATTATAATGATGTTTATGTGTTTTGTCTGCTTCAGAAAACTGTGCGCAAGGCAAAAGGCATTAGTAATATATTCACGAAAAGGACGTTCTTAGTTCGGATTGGAATACAATGCCAATAACATTAGGACTATTGAGACATAAAGTATTTACTTTCGCAAGTTCCGTTATGGTGTGAGCTCGATTCAGTCATAATTCCAGCCCGATAACTAACTTGACAGTTTTCACGAATAGTGTTCATTGCCGACAATTTTCAAAGGGAAGTACGTGTAAATGATGATATGGGGATTGTAAACAAGCTCTATCAAAGCTGGTGGGGGTGTCCAGGACAAAGTTGTTTGACTGTTTGTATAATGACAAACATAACTTGCGCTTGTGGCTAGGCCTGGCTGATGAACAGTGATGGTGTCTTCAGTAGTCTGTTAAAGTACATTGGTAGTCATGAGTGACTGTAACCCATTCTGAGTTTTATGGTGCCTCACCATTTTAGAAGCGGATAACTCCTATGAAGTTGATCTTGCTGTGCTGTCTTGGCAAAATTAAGTTTACTTAATTTTTATTTAATTTTACTTAATTACATACTTAATTTCATACAGGTTCATTAAGAACACTTAAGGGAAATGTACAAAACCTATCTTCCTCAAAATCTTGGACGATTACGAGATGATAGTAATATAAGTAGTAGGTTGAACAATATCCTGACTGCCATTCGCCAGCGCGTATTCCGGAACGCTCCGAATGCGCGATCAATTGGTCAACTAATTACGTTGCACAGCTTGAGATAGTTGGGTCACGTACTCCGTATGCCAGCTGAGCGTTTACCGTACCGAGCATTATATACTGAGACCACCAACAATTGGGTAAAACCGCTTGGCAGTCAATCAACAACGTGGTCACGAAATATGAAGACTTTGACTGCTCCATTGAGCAAAGTGGGTAGGTGTCACCTGCCTGGATGGGATCCTCGTGATCACTCAAACCACTGGTTAGAGACGCCATCCGAGATGGCGATGTGTCACAGTCAATTTGTACCTGTATCCATACCATTTCTAGTTCTTCCGCTTAGTCTTCTTTTAATAATTTTCAACCTTCTTAGCAACGTTTTCTTTTTGGATATTCCACATCATTATTGAGGTGAGCGGCGGCCCGAGCCGCAGTACCTTTTGGTCAGGCTCGTGGCTGGTATGATGACGATGATGATGATGATGATGATGATGGTAAGTATTGGTATATTTTTGTTAATAGATGTTCAACATTACTCACGGCCTCCCTCAAAAAGAAACTATATACTTGAGGTACGTTTTTGTTAGGATTCGTCAGTAATGCGCATCTTTGCCACGGACATAAGTAAATCTCCAACTAGGGTTTCATGAAGTAGCCTAGTTGACAGCTGTGCCACTTATCTTATATCGGACATCATTGGATCATTATATGAAAACGCACGCTTGGGTAAAGCCCAAATTTCTTGACGTTGATCGAACGTCCTTGTCACTTACTAGTAATCGAAATATCGCTGAATAGGTTTAATTATTTTTCGTGTGGCTTCAACTTATTGAGAAGTCTTAGTTATGGAGTCACGGTTTTAGGTGAACAGATCACTTACTGCGTACACTTTCCAGACGGTCGGACAACCTGAGTGCCAATCACAAGCGATTGTGACCGAGCGTTCACATGTGAGGATCCAATCGTGTCTAACGGGAGGTCAGTGACACAGCGGTCAACACGGTTGCCTCATGAATGCGTGGTCGGAGTTCTAGTCCCGGTCGTGGCAAGGATATGCATTACTGACTTGTTGCTCTACCAGAAACGAGACTCGAGTGTAGTGTTGCTTTTCGACAGGGGCTGATTGAAAGTTCTATGAGAATGCGATGGCTGTGGACAACTGTGAGTAACATGTTCACGTAGATCCAAATTCACCGGAAACGCAACGTAACAGGCGGTTTGCTTAACTGTTGAACCCCAGCCATATACCCTGTTATCTGGAAAGACCAGAGGATAAACTGAAAAAAGGACTAAGTAATTTGCGTAGTAACATTGCTATACTCCTTGAAGTTAGTGTTGTTGACGGATAGGTGAGAATGTTCAACAGTAAGCCTTGGGGCTAAGACTCATTATGCGAATGTAAATAACGATTGTTAACAACCACCGGTCATGTGGATTTGACGAATTTCTACGAGAAGACATCGGTTGTGGTGCGATAGCTTTTCTTTCCTGAGTGCCAGATACGGCAGTATTGAATGAGTATGAATGTAGGAGCTCGTGCCTCAAGGCTAAGTCATTTCCATCCTGTCATAACTTCGATTATCAACAAAATAGGCACACCTGCTCTTGACAAGTGATACATCTTTGAAATACTAGTTGCGGGATTAAAACAAATTAATCCGTGATCTCAGTTTAACTGAGATGTCACAATCACGTGGTTATGGAGTAGATTTGAGCTAGTAATGACTATCTTCTTCTAAAGCGAGCAGGTGGTCTGAACAACACACACAAACAACTGTGGGTTAGTGTTTATTTCGCTACGATTTGATTAACGCGTATAAGCACAGTAGTTGGAGTTCACTTGTTTATTATGATAAAGACATACTGCCGAATAACTCTGCGAAAACCGAAACCCACAACAACTGATTACCTTCAAAAGAGCAGAAATAAAAGCCCGCTTGAATCTACTTTATTAAATGACAACCTTTTTTAGGCTATTGTCAATCTGCCCAGTCGAGAGAATTCACGGTTTCAACACAGTGATTTTGCTAAACCGTAAACGACTTAGTAAAGAACAAGAAAGACCAGTTCAGGCTTGTAAAATCAAAACTCTTCTTTGTGATGCCTACCAGACTGAGTCGTCATGTATGAGCAAAACTCAGTGAATGGTTATCCACATTATACTTTGTTTGCACAGGATAAGTATTGGCTCAGAAAAATACACGCAATGTGCTGACCGCCTGGCCATACGTAGTGAATACTAACTGCAAACTTTGGATACTAAAGTCATTTCGAATGTGATGCTTTAGATTTGTAAAAATAATGTCGTATTTCATTTATCTCTATTTTATTTTTAGCGTGCATGATGACAACGACTGACGTTGCCAGCTCTGGGATTGCGAAAGAAACCAATATTACATACACTGCAAGATCTCGGCATTGTCTCATTCACTTGTCTTGTGACATACTATACACCATGCCGGTACATGTCTTCTAACTCAAACTATGAAATACAAACCCATCTTTTGGCTGGTTATCTAGGGGGGGGGGTGGAGTTAGCTTTAGGAAGAGAGCTGGCTAAAATGTTTACCAGAATACGAAATCCGCGGACTAACTTGAGCGGTGCTCAGATTAAAACAACCAAATCTCG